CACCCATGTATAAACCATGATACAACACTATTTCAGAATTGTTATTTTTCTCCACATTTTAGGCTATATTTCTCTTCCAATTATCAGGGATTCACTGAACACAATGTGATTTACTTTTGATTAGACAGATGTATGATTGTGTTGTACATTTCTTGAATCCTGCCTTTTCTTTCAAGTAGCTATATGCGCCCATTTCAAAACACAGTTCTTAAAGGATTTTCAATCCTAGAAATATAAAATGCACTCTTCAATCTTCATTCATTCTCTCTGTTTTTAAGAATAGTACAATAAAAAGGCATAAGGATTTCCTATTCCCTTCAACATAATTTAAAACAGTGATCCTTTATCAATGGCTACAGAATTTTTTTTTAATACATAGTGGATTGTGAAAAGCCATAAATACAAGCCATATTATGTCACAACTAAACAAACACATTCCACCAACCCAGTGCACATAGAATATGGTTATTAAGATACAGGGAATCAGAAGAAGTCTGGCAGTACCTTTTCTGACTAACACATTTTAATAAAAGGCATAAGGGTTCGTGAGCTGCAGCTGACTTCATCAGATGCATAGAATAACTAGACTGATGTAGGATTTGAATTTGGATGAAGCAGTGGTGGGGAACAGAGAGGAAAACATATGTTGCTTATACAGATGCAAGCTACATGTGGATTAGAGGAATTAATGGATTAGAGGAATTTGATTTCATTTCATTTTTCAAAGTAATGGTCAAATTCCATCATGACTTCAACACCTTCCATCCCACCATCAACCTCAGCATCAAGTTTCCACACAAGGCCATTTTTTTGATGTCACAGTAAAACTGTATAATGGACACATAAATTCATTATGCGGGAAACCTACAGATCATCATGCATATCCACATGCTTCCATCTAGAAATTTCAAATTTATCACAACAGAGCCAGGCTCTATGCTACAACCATGTTTGTTCTGATCCTGACAGAGATGTTCCACTGATGGAATTAAGCATTCAGGAGAGGGAACTATCCATCCAACAAGATCAACAGACAACTCAACAGAGATTGATTGACAGGGAGGACATATTCAAACACAGATCACTAAAACAAAAATGGAATGCCATTGGTTGTCACCTACAGCTCACAGCTCAAAGCCTTCCAATACATTATTAATAAGCTATAGCCCATTCTGGACAATGACACTGCACTTTCTCAAGAATTGGGTGGAAAATCCATATTTATATACAACACTGAAAGTGAAGCAGATTCTCACAAGCAACAAGAAACTACATACAACGATGCTGAGACAGGAACTAGACCTGCAACAAACAATGACTATTCTGCCCTCAAATCTACACCAAGAGCATCATTACAAGCTCCCAGTAAGTACACAAGATTAGAGATTTCAATAGAAGAGAATATATGTAGCTCAGGGTTGAACTGTGGAGTCCTCGGTGCTCTCTGAGCTTGCTTATATGCTGGCAGATGTTTCATTACCTGAGTAGGTAATATCATCAGTGCTAGCAAGTGTGGGGTTTGCTCCCTGTTTATGTACAGTAGTTTATCCTGCCAGTGTTGGTGGGGGTGTGGTTTTCTCCTTGGTAGTTCCTCAGTTAAGGTATTGTTTTCTGCTAGATTGTTTATCTGGTGTTAATCCCTGCTTATCTGGGTGTTGGTTGCTGGAAAAGATGTGTTCTGGTCTTTTGTTTCCTTCTAAGCTTTTTTACTGTCTACCACACCCCCACCAATACTGGCAGGGCAAGCTACTGTATATAAACAGGAAGTAAACCCCACACTCACTAGCACTGATGATGTTACCTAATCAGGTAATGTAATGTCTTCAACAAACAACCAAGCTCAGAGAGCACCAACAACTCCAGAATTGGAGGTTTCTTTACATGCTCTTCCTCTAATGTGATATATACCATCATTTGCCAGCAGTGTTCCTCTAGAGTCTACCTAGGACAAATAGGAAAAACTTTGCACATAAGAATGGACACACATTTGACAACAGGATTCAAAATAAGAATAAAGTAGTATCAGAGCATTTCAAGCTCCCAGGACACTCCACATATGAAAAAGTTTCAGGCAATTTCAAAAAGCCTCAACAAACACAATGGGTTTTTAACACATTATAAATGTGAATATACCTGTAATCCGTCTCCCATGTAATTTGCATTGGCATAACCAATCTGTCTTCCCCTCTCACTTCATCCCAATTCAGTCTAGCTACTTTATGCATCCAATGAAATGAGGTGCAGCTCATGAAAGCATATGCCTTTAAATAAAATTTCATTATGTTTGTTCTGTAAGGGGACACAGGAATATTTAAGTTGCAAGGTAAAATAAACATTTACATCTTTCTGTGGTATGATTACAGTTAAATATATTTTAAATGTTGTTATTCATACTTATTAAGAAAACAGGCAGCCATCATTAGTCTCAGTAAACTAACAGAAATACAACAAAATACTTACTGATTGTCCTTTCTTGTGCTTTCGCCTGTACAAAACAGTCCAATTGATCTGACGGGGATTTCTCTTGGAGAGGAATGCAGACTCACATTTTGCATTCAAAAACTGAAAAACCTGGAACATTTAGATTTTTTTAAACATAACATCATGCTTTTAGTATTACTATAAGATGACAAAGTAGCTTAATAAAATAATTCTAGAGCTGAGGTATCAATAGTGGATTAGCTGTGGGCTAGGCAGTATATAAATCAAAACTTAGCTTAGCTATACCCTGACAATGTGTTTTTAAGAGAAGCCACTGTCTTTTGACTCTTACTAAGAGAAAAAAATTATGCTGCTATATGTTATTTTAGTCAATTACACCAAGCCTTTTAATAGCACTTCCTTGTCAATATTACAACAATAAAGCACACAGAGAATCAAAGGAACAATTGGAAAGGGTGTCTAAGATCATCTAGTTCATACCCTCTTAGATTCAGACACTACAGCACACCTTTTTAATAGTCATTTAATCTGCCACTTTCCAAGGTAACCTCTTCCCTGTCAACAGCTTGTATTATCAAGAACTTTCTTGTTACTTAGTTGAAATCTTGTAATTTGAACTATTTTTCTGAAGATCAAGTTTAGAATCCCATCCTCCCAAAGCAGTCCACAACAGAATGACCCAGACAACTATGTCTCTTTTAGTTAATCCAGCTTTGTTTCAGGGATAGAAATAGCTTGCTTACTTGCCACTACCCCTGCCCACTTGGGTCTGGACACCTCATGGTATGGGAGGCACACTTACTTCTTGTGTAATTTGTTTCTACTGCATGCAGTCAGAAGCAATTGTAGCTAGGTAAACTTGCCAGTTTTTGCTATACACTTTTCTACTAAGGTTTAGGAGTTTCAATACACTGTCTTCTGCTTCTTTTTGAATGATTTCATTGCAATGCGAACCTCACCATGAGGGCATTTCCGTGTTATTTATTTATTTAAATGTACTGGCTGCCCAACTCCAATGGACTCTTGTAAGTTCACTGAAGCTGGTGAAAGCCAGCTTTGGTAATCAGCTGTTAGGCATTCTCAACATATGTCCAATCTATTTCCAGCACCAGATTTTTTATTAAGTCTATAATGGCTACTGTTTTACACTTTCTGCTGATCTTTTCATTTCAGGTTATTGGAAATTTGCTACCACTGATGCAACATAGAGAGCAATGGTTAAAAAAAAAAAAAAGTGTAGTTTGTTTACAGTCCCCAATTTTAGAAGGCCAGATTTTACAGCCATAAATATGAGCCTGTGCTATTACACAGTGTAGTTGGACTTTTGTGCTATGTTAAATGTCTTTTCACTTCCAAAAACTGGAAAGGACAAAAAGAAAGGTGCTCATTTCAGCTGAAATGCTACTTCTTGTGGTGCTCCACCAGTTGTGTTTACATTGTTTCCAAGGTATGTAAAATAATCTACTTGTTGAATTGCTTCATTTCTTAACTCCACTGCTCTACTGGGTGAGTCAGGTGAAGCATGGAGGTATTTGGTTTTAGTGAGACTTCATTTGTTATATGGCTAATCTTGTAGGTTGTCCCGAGTGCTGGCTAGGAGGGCCACATCACCAGCAAAGATTAAATCTGTAAGTATAGAACTGGATGGATATGTAACAATACCACTCATCTTTTCATTCAATAGTTTTCTCAAAATATGAATCATCTGTATATTGAACAACTGCAATAGAATAGCACCCTGATGAAATTGTTGAAATGGACCTCTGGACAATGGTTTCCATGTTCTCTAATCTGGCAGTTTGTTGTTTATAAAGGGTTTGTGTGATCTGGCATATTTTATCTTTCCAGAACCATTGCCCAAATGCTGTCATGGAGCATGCTACCAAGTGCTGCTTTGAAATCAATAAATGAAACATATTTTTCTTGATTTAAACTGAACCTGCAATTCCAAATATTGCTGAATTACAAATTTTTGATTAAATACTTCACTGAAATTGCAAACCTTTGCTTTGAAAGTTCTCTCTATCCCTCATTAAGTGATTTATGGCAGCTTTTTTATCAGCTGCTAACAAGTTTTAGGATCAACTTCTATCATCCCGAAATTAACCAAGAATAAAACTGCAACTCTTATGACTATGGGTCAGCTCTCAGAAATCAGTGAAGCACATCACTTTTAGCAACAATACTATGCCAGACGTTTTTTGTTTTGTTTTTTGCGCCTTACCTTTCCGTCCGTACGAGCGTAGCGGCGGCCGTGGCCGGGGTAGATCTTGTACCCACTGAAGCTGCACAGCTCGACCCTGCATTCCAAAGTTACCGAGAAAAAATGATCAGACTAAGAAAACCTAAACCTACCCCATCTCACAAGCCAAACCTGAGGATGGCCTCGGATTAAACCTCGGCCCCGAGTCTTACTTCATAATGGCGGTAGCAGAGCAACTTCACCGGCTTCTCCAGCGCATAAGAGAAGGAGAGGATCATGGGAAACCGGATTCTATACTCGCGCGAAGCATGATGGGAACACCCGCTATGCTGTTGCATGATGGGCAGTACCGCGCTTTCATTAGCTGATAGTTTAATTCCTAAAATGGGTAAAACTCATTACCTGTGATACCAAGGGGGCTTGAAAACTTTGTGCTGTTATATAAAATCTTTCGCAATATTTTTTCCAAGCGTTTCTTATCATCCAATCAGTATCTAACTTCAGCACGGTTGCCTAGCATTGGAAGCAAGCGGGAAGTATGGCGGCAGCATCGGTTGCGGAGGTTTCTGCAAGGAACAGTGAGGGGGTCAAGCCATCCACGGGCGCTAGTCAAGGTAGGAGTGAAATCTGCCGAGCGCGGGAAGCGGCAAATACTGTATAGGCGAATTGGGAACGCTTTCTAAGGAACGCTCAAGACATTTCTCTTTGACCGTTATGAGGAGGGGGAGTGTCGCGCAGAGTGATATGGGGACTGTAGTTTGTATGATCCTGGATCCTGGTTAATGGTATAAGTTAATTTTAACAATGCACTACAAATCCCGAAAGGCCCTGCGAACGATTGTTTCTTTGTGTAGTTTGAAGGAGCGGTAATAGTTCCCCTATTCTTTGCTTGGCGCATATATGTGTGTATACAGTATAGATATGTATTGAAGCAACTACAGATTTTTTTGTGGCTTCTTTCTATATGTGCACATCAAGTGGATGTGTAATGACAGTGCAGTTAGCAATGTAACTATGTTAGATGAGGTACTGCTGTCATTGTTTTCAGTAACTAGTTTTTGTCCTGAAAGGCATTACAGTATTGTGCTATTTGTCTATGTTTGGTTGCAGTGGGGGAGGGGTTGTGTTACAAAGAATTTTCTAATGCTCAAACTCTTGTAGTATATAATAATTTATTTTTCACAGGATGACAAAATTGAGCAAAGGAATATTCCATTGTAAATAATAATGGTAATATGGTATATTTTAGTATGTACATATTTTTTATAGATTGCATCTTTGGAATATAATGTAAATGAAACATGCTATAGCATATTCTACAGAGTAACTGGATTAAAATAAATAGAGGAACACATAAAAGCAATACTGTTATTACTATCTGCTATGGCCAGGCTAATCAAGGAGAAGACTAGGTGATGCTTTCCAAAAGCCAGTTGCAGATATTTCAAAGGAGCATGCAGTAAGGGGACTCTTCAATCATCCCAATATCTGCTGATAAACAAATTGTCAAAGACAATACTTCTCAAAAATTCCTGACCAATCTTGCTAAAATTTTCTATTTTAGAGGATGAAGGAAGGCTCAGAAAGATCAACTACAGGTATCCATGATTTGACAATACTGTTGGCCAAGCAAGTGGAAGTAGCAGAAACATTGTGGGAAAAGTAGCCAAGTAATGGTGGAGTTCTTGGTGTTAAGGAAACTAACAATGAATGGTATCAAATGTTAATCTTATACCTTAAAAAAAGACATGGTAATAAATTAAGAGCAATTATAAGTAGGATTCCATAATAGGAGAAGCTAAATGAAGAAAGTAGATCAAGATAGGTGGGAGGTTACATAAAAGAATAATTCCAAAGAAGAAACTTTTCATGAATAATCATCCAATACACAATGTGTCAGTGTGTAAAAGTACTTTCTCCCTTTGTCATTAATTAAATTAAAGGGATTGGTATGTACTTAACATAACACTCAGGGCTCATTTGGGCCATCTTGTTATATATAAATCACATATATTTTTGGTTGGCTTCATCACAGAGAATATCTCACTACACAGATTCTAAACATGGCTCATTCAGAAAAGTTCTGAAGACCTCTCAAATGAAGCCTGTCAAGTTACAATAACCATTTCTTAAGCTCTGAGGCTATCTACATCCAAAACTACAGACCTGAAAAAATTTGTGATTGTTTCTGATCAAAATGACTCCAAGAGCACAGCATAAATTAGTCCAGGAAGTAAAAAAGAACCCTAGAATAACTTCTATGGATCCGCAGGCCACACTTGCTCAGGTCACTGTATATGACCCCACCATCAGAAATACCCTGGGAAAAAAATAGATTTGTGGGAGAAGTTGCAAGGTGGCCACCAATGCTCACAAAGAAGAAAAAAGTACCCAGATGGCCCACCATATTTCTGGAGGAATGCACTATGGATTGATGAGTCAAAAGTGGAACTTTCAGGCTACGTAAGTGTCATTATGCCTGATAAAAATCGAATACTTCATTTCACAATAAGAATGTCATACCAATCATGAAAGCATAGTGACGTCTTTGCTGCTTCAAGTCCTGGTAACTTGTTATCATTGGGGGAAGCGTGAATTCTGCTTTATAGCACATAATTTTACTGGAGGCTGTCATGATTATCGTTGAAGGTGAAATTCACATGGATCATGAGGCAAGACAATGATCTCAAATATACAAGTAAGTTTACAAGAGAATGGATGAAGCCCAAATTCATTGTTTTGGATGGGCCAAGTCAGAATCTAGACTTGAACCCCACAGAAATGTGACAGACCGGACATGAGCAGGTTATATTGGAAACCTCCCAAAAGTTTTGCAAAGCAGTTCACCATGGGGTACTAGGCCCAAATTCTTACATAATGGTGTGAGACACTTTTCACCAATTACAAGAAGAGTCTGGTTGCAGTTAATACAGCTAAAGTTACTAAATCTAAAGGAGCGGTTACTTTTTTACACTGACACATCACATGTTCAGTAACTCTGCTTATGAATAAATAAAATAAGCACCAAATATATCAGTAAGGATGCACATGAAGCTGTAATATATGCATAATATATGTAGAAATTCACGATCTGAAAGGGGATAAATATTTGTTCACAGAACTGCATGGGAGGTAAAAACAGAGCCAGGTCACAAGAAAGAGTACATATTAAGTACCCAGCACTATAAAGAGTATGTTATAAAAGCTAAAGCTCAGAATATACTAAGGTTGGCAAAGGATAATAAAAGCAAAAAGAGAGACTTTTCAGATGTATTCCAAATAAGGAAGAACAAAGAATCAAGAAATTGGTGCCCAGTTTAGATAATTGCAAAATGCTAAGAGTTAGCACTGAAAGGTCCTTTTTTTTTTAATCTCTTCCTATAAGAGGTAGTACGTTCCATAGGCAACTGTGTAGGGCGAGAAGGAACTTTGAGATTGATAGAAATATATATGCACACATACTTTGAATAAATGTAAATCCCCAAGGAATCCTGGAGAACTGAAAGGACTTGCTAATTGTTATGCTAATGTTCTTCAAATATCTGAAAGAATGACATGGAAATATCTGAAGACCTGTTCTGTATTGGTTCAAAGTATAAGATAAGGAAGAATGAAATCAAGGTTCAGGAAGGCAGATTCCAGGTGAAAATAAGAAGAAATTTCCTCATAGTAAGAATCAATCAATGATGAAATCATTTCCCCAGAAATATGGTAGACTCCCCTTCACTGGATATAATTAAAAAGAAATTAGACAACCTTCTATTGAGGATACTTTATGTTCCAGCACTGAGCAGTAGTTTGGTTGTGATGGTCTAAATGGTTCTTTCCATCTTTAATTTATAATGAATTTAATTTATAAAGTCTAAATTAGTATTCAGACCCTAATATAAAAGTTGTTTTCAACAAGCCTGGATTGGTAATACCCTTTTTTTGAGACTAATTATTACTAATGTTACTAGCACTATGTAAATGTTACTAGCAGTATAACACAGTATGATGCATATATATGTGTGTTTGCTCACAAATATTTCAACCCAGTTATTTGGGTTTTATTCCTTATTAAGCATATTTATAATTAGATGCTGTCAGGTTCAGCCCAAGAACAACAGTGAGACAGTCCAGAATCAGTTCAGCTCCTTTATTAGCTTACACCTAATAGACAGAATCTCGTCAGACTAATTCTAATCCCCAACAACTGCAACTATAACCACGATGCCCTTAGGGAGGGGCCAGTCTCCTTCTCTTGATTTTCTCACACTCCGGCTGGGGGCTGAAAAGGTGCTTTCCATTCCAGAATCCTCCCCGCTCATGTCTTCTATCACAGATGCTATCTTAGTAAAAGAGCTTGCTATTATAATATAGTTATTTCAGATTTATTTTGCATTTGTGTGAACAAAATCATTAGCTTCCATACTTCTTTCAGAATGCATTAAGTTTTCAAATGGTATCCAATAGAGAACCACCACCAATATAATCTCTTCTCTGCCTAAGCAAAGTTAAGAAAAAAAGCCAGAGGTGTAAGACATACCATCCAGAATCATACCATTTAAATAAAATAATCTGGAAGAATGAGCTCCATTGATTGGGGAAAAAAGATAGGTGTGATCCCATTTTTCATTTTTTTAGCACAGTATAAGATAATTTACTATAAGAATTCACAAGCAATTTTCTTTTAACTGATAAAATGTTAATCTAGCTAGAAATGCTGATGACTATTTGGGGATAATTAGATACCCCTGTTCTTTTTTTCCTTCATCAGAAAAAGAAAAGGTAAGAATTCACAGCAATTTTGATACAGTACTATTGATAGATATTGATGATAAGCTTTTCCTTAATTTTATTCTAAATTTTAAAAAAGAATTGTAATTGATTGAGATTGTATATCTTCTGAATTTGCTGTGTTCATTCTTTTTTAACATTTTATTTTTTTTCTCTTGTTTAATAGGTTCCTCAATTAATTGGTCAGGCCAGGGTTTACAAAAATTAGGACCAACTTTATCCTGTAATGCAGACATACATACTTTGATTTTGGATAAAAATCAATTAATTAAATTGGAACACCTGGAGAACTACAAGAACTTGATGCAGGTAGGGTTTTTTCATATATATGAGCAAATATGCTTTGCTACTTAAATTATTCAAATTTTTGGAAAACTTGGAAAAATAAATTTTAATGTTTTGTTCTATATGTTTTCATTAAAGATTATGCTCAATAGTAACCTTCACTGAAGGTCAAATATGAGTCCAATTTGGGGGTCCTCCTGGACACGAATCTAATTTGGGGGTCCTCCTGGACATGAATTCAATTTGGGGATCAATGAGTAATGGCAGTTGTGGCTAGGAGGGCCTTTGCACAAATTTATATGGTGTGCCAGTTGTGCCCATTCCTAGATCGAGAAGCCCTACTCATGGTCACTCATGCCCTGGTCACCTCCCGGTTGGACTACTGTAATGCACTCTACATGGGGCTGCTCTTGGAGACTATCTGGAAACTTCAGCTGGTGCAAAATGCAGCAGCACAAGCAGTTATGTGTGCTTCTGTTAGAATATACATGACACCTCTGTTTCGCGGGGTGCATTGGTTACCAGTTTGTTTCCAGGTCCAATTCAAAGTGCTGATGTTGACCTTTAAAACCCTACATGGCATGGAACTGGGTTACTTGAGGGACCGCCTCTTCCCAATTACATCTGCCTGTCCCACCAGATCTAGTAGAAAGGGCATGTTATGGGTTCCGTTGTTGAGGGAGCTACAATGGGCGGGCCCTAGATGACAGGTCTTTTCTGTTGTGGTACCCATGGTATGGAATATTCTCCCTCCTGAAGTGAGGTTGGCTTCATCACTTCTGATCTTCTGCAGGTCCCTCAAGACCTGGTTGTGCAATCAGGCCTGCGACTCCAGGGGACTGGTGAACTAGTGAGGTAGCTCCATTATTATTAACATCCCTTCGTCTATTATTTCTTTGTCTTAGCTTTATTTTTTATAGTTTTTAAAGTTTTCGATAATAATAATTGATAACTGTTCTAGGTATTTATTAATTGTTTTAGCTTTGTTGTATGCCACCCAGAGTCACTTGTTGTGAAATGAGTGGCTATATAAATTGGACAAATAAATAAATAAATAAAAATAATGCTTTGATTCTCCACCTTTATATGCACACACATGTACTCAAATTAGAACAACTAACCATTTTTGTGTTAGTTAATATTGCTTATATTTATTGGTTTTAAAGTAATTAAAAGTTTCTGACAGAATATTGTTGGGAAAATGCATTCCATCAAAATGAATTTTGAAAGCAATTTTGTAGGTGCAGTCACAAAAACGCTGATCTGAAGGGAGGTTTGAACTACATTGACTTCCAATAGAAGAATGCAGTTCTGCAGACAACTAGGCAACAAGTCATGTAGGGCTTTATAGGTTAGTATTAGCATTTTAAATGGCACTCAAAAGCCTGTCTTCATTGAGTGCGTGGCCTGCAACACTGGTGAAATGTGCTGCCACTGGCAAATGCCGGTCAGCACATGGGCCACTACTCTCTTAACAACTGCAGCTTTCAAATGACCTTCAGAATCAGACCCATGTAAAACATGTTGGCAGTAGTCTAAGCAGGTGGTGATGAGGGCATGAGTCACTGTAGCAGGATCCTCCTGCTCCAGTTTGAGTTGCAACTCATCCACTGTAGCAAGATTCTCCAGATTGGGTTGCAACTGATCCAGCCATGGCCTCCACCTACCATTCTAGAGGTTGGTGCTTTACTTTGCAGCATGTACATTCTCACTTAATTTTTTCCTCCAAGAATTAAAAGAACAGTAAACAAAACTAAGATATTGTCCTTTTTGTTGCAGTTGTCAGTAGCCAACAATCGGCTAGTGCGGATGATGGGTGTGGCAAAGCTGACTCATCTTCGAGTGTTAAACTTGCCACACAACAGTATTGGTTATGTAGAGGGATTGAAAGAGCTAAAGTACTTGGAGTGGCTGAATCTGGCAGGAAATAACTTAAAGGTAAATTTTCTTTAAACAAGCAACAAATAAGGAGCAAAATAATTCTCGCATCTAACTTTTTTTTTGGTGTTATGTAGAAGTTGGTGGCCTCATAAATTGAAATTATAAGTGAATACATACTTAAAATAATAAAAATATTAATCCAGTAGTATTGCATTGAGTTTGTAGTCATACCTAGGAACTTGATTAAGGCAAAATGTTTGGAAATGCAATGTTATATGAATAGAATAGAATAGGATTTTAAAATTGGAGGAAAAAACTTCAGTAGCCTGCGTTATGCTGATGACACTACCCTGATAGCTGAAAATATAAAGGATCTGCAAGCTGTAGTAAAAGTTAAGGAGCAAAGTGAAAAAAATAGGACTAAAATTAAATATAAAGAAGACCAAACTAATGTCAGCAGGTAGAACAACCAGCCTTAGAATTGGCAATGAAGATATTGAAGTGGTGGATAGTTTCTGCCTTTTAGGCTCAACCATCAACAGTAAAGAAATCGGCAGTCAAGAAATATGCTGCAGACTAACACTTGGTAGAGCAACCATGAAGGCCTTGAAGAAGATATTCAAATGCTGTGAGGTCTGTATACCTACAAAGATCAGAATTGTGCATGCCAGTATTCCCTGTGACACTCTATGGAAGCAAAAGTTGGACTTTGAAGAAGCAGGATAGGAAGAGTATTGATGCTTTTGAACTTTGGGGTTGGAGAAGATGCCTGAGAATACCACAGACAGCCAAGAAAACAACCAAATGGATCACCAAACAAATCAACCCAGAGTTCTCACTCAAGGCACAAATAACTGGACTTTGAAGAAGCAGGATAGGAAGAGTATTGATGCTTTTGAACTTTGGGGTTGGAGAAGATGCCTGAGAATACCACAGACAGCCAAGAAAACAACCAAATGGATCACCAAACAAATCAACCCAGAGTTCTCACTCAAGGCACAAATAACCAAGGTCAAACTATCCTACTTTGGTTGTATTACGCGAAGGCCTAGCTCTCTGGAAAACGCTCTAATGCTGGGAAAGGTGGACGGAAAGAGAAGAGGACAACCACCAGTAAAGTGGATGGACTCAGTTACAGTGGTGATGAGTGCATCATTGGAAGACCTCAAAGACCAGGTTAGGGATAGATTGTCATGGAGAAAAACTATGTGGTTGCTTGGAGTCGACAGTAACTTGATGGCACATAGTCAAGTTACAAATTAATCAGTAATAGAATTTTTTAATGGTTAAAAAATAGAAATTTAAAATATTAAGGACAGCTTATGATTGAGGCTTTAGATATTTGTGACATGAGTACACAGTAGCAGTGCTCACACATGAAAGTAAGCTACAGTGCATTCAGAAAGTATTCAGACCCCCCTTCACTTTTTTCAATTTAGTTATGTTGCAGCCTGATACTACAATCATTCAAATTCATTTTTTTTCTGATTAACCTACACACAATACCCCATAATGATAAAGTGAAAACAATTTTAGAAATGTCTATAAATTTATTAAAAAGGAAAAACTGAAATATCACATTGGCATAAGTATTCAGACACTTTACTCAATACTTTGTTGAAGCACCTTTGGCAGCAATTACAGCCTCAAGTCTTTCTTGGTATGACGCGACAAGCTTTGCACACCTGGATTGGGGGATTTTCTGGCATTCTTTGTTGCAAATCCTCTCAAGCTCAATCAGGTTGGATGGGGACAGCCATTTTCAGGACTCTCCAGAGATGTTCAATAGGGTTCAAGTCA